GCGGTGGGACTCACTCTCTGCCGATGTCCCGCGGCCGCCGCTGGAAGTCCCCGCGCTAGCCCGCCGTCCGCCGCTTTCTAACTCACCGCCGCCATCTTTGCCCTCCCTCCCCTCTCACGGGGGGGAGGGGGCCGGCGGCGCCGCCGCACCACGTGACCCGACCACCACCGCTCCGCCTCCCGCCCACGTGACCGCCTCACGCGGAGCCACGTGACCCCTTGCCGTCATGTGACCAGCCATCGCGCCTGGGCCTCGTTCCCGTCACGTGATGCGCCCCCCCTCCTCGCGTGGAAGGGCGGGCGAAATAAAGCTTCTGGAAAGTCCCGGCGGCCTCGGAGTCCGATTTCGCCTCGCCCGCGTCCCGATCTGCGGAGGGGTTGGGGGAGGGGGAGAACGAAGAGAAGGTCGCCAGGAGTCACGTGATCTCAACGCTGCAAGATGGCGGCATGCGGACGTTGTTGCAGGCTCTCGCGAGAGTTTGTCGCGCGCGAGGCATGATGGAGAGAAAGGTGGGGGGGGAAGGGCGCATGCGCGCTTGAGTTCGGCTTTGTAGGAGGGGTTGGGTGCATGCGCAGAGTGGGCTTTTAGCTTCAGTGCCCCGGTTCTAACTGCTGCTTCTGGCCCTGGGCGCCCCTAGGTGGGGGGAGGGGCTAGGCTGGAGCCTGCAGGGGCAGGACTTAGAGCCTGTCTCTGGAGGGGACCCCCTAATTTGGGGCTTCCAGTCTTCTCTGCCTAGAGCTGCAGGCCTGGTGTAGGAAATACCCTGAGCCCAAAGGCATGGGGAGCCTTATGTGCAGGCATCCTGGTTTTCTCCGATTTGAAAAAAAAACCCCAAGTTTTTGATTAAAAAAACCCCCAAAAATCCACATTTCTCCATGATTTAAAATGAAACACAATTAATATACAGATCTATGTATCTATATAATGGTGTTTCATTTTAATCACAAAAAAATGTGGATTTTTTGGATTACCGTTTTTTATCCAAAAATTGGGGATTTGTTGTTTTTTAAATTGGAGAAAACCAGGGTCCCTGCACATACGGCTCCCCATGCCTTTGAGCTCGGTATTTCCTGCACCAGGCCTGCAGCTCTAGGCAGAGAAGACAAAAAGCCCCAGATTTGGGGGTCCCTTCCAGAACCAGACTTTGAACCAGGGCTTGGATGCGCCGCCTTTGCTTTTTGTGTCTAGGGTCACCTGTAGTTGTTCAAATGGATCGCACAAGCTTTGTTCATTTGCGGCCAGGGCTGCAGTAACAACCTGTGTCCAGATGTCCCTAAGGAGGATGTGCAGTTTAAACTCTGACAGCTTAAAAAACCCTGGGAGTGCTGCATCGCTAATGTGCGCTGGCAGCGGCTGTCACAACGCCACGTGCCTATGTTGAAGCCAGCGTGTCTGCTGCGCTTCTGTATCCTGGTGGGTTGGGCCTCAGTGGGCCCTGAGATGCTATTTTTGCTATTGGCAGCTGCTGGGTAGATTCAGGCTCTGTTACACGTTTACATGTATTGCGCGATTCACTGGTTAATTGCACGATACATTTAGAGCAGCCACAAGTGTAAAGTAATTATCACAATTATCACACCATGAGTTGGTGAATCACACACTAAATGTAAACTGGCTCCATGTCATTATCATGCAATAACAATGACTCTCCAGGTATGAAAAGAGCCAACCAGTTACCAAATTAGTGCTTGCAAATGTGTAACAACTCTATAGCTGGCTTCTGGCCAGTTTTTTAATTTGAAGAGGTGGCAGGGCCCTTGTACATCTATTGTCAGAAACCTGATTAAATAGTTGCTTAGTTAAAATTTTAATTCGTCGTTTATAAACGCAAGTTATACGCTATCATACGTCCAGGCTTTTGTTATTATTATTTATAGTGTCTTGTTCTGAAAAATGAGAGACTAACGACCGATTGAGCCAGCATTTAATCTCCTGAGGAAATTCTGCTGTCGTTTATGATCAATCTTAAGCAATGAATGTGATCAATGCTGTATAACTTACAAGATTTTGAAATAAAAACGAACACTTTAAATTGCAAATATTTTTGAGCCACAGAGATGTAGGTTGATGAGAAAGGAAGAAGACTTCATTCAGCACTGTATAGTATCTTAACAATTGCAATTAAAAAAAAGGTAAGGCAACAATAATTGAAAGCAACAATAAGCATTATTTATTTTAGGATTTGCATGCTAATGTCTTTCTTTCCTTTTTTTAAACTTGAATATTTTGCCATGACTTTTCTTCCTTCCCTATTCAATGGTTTCATATTAGTCGCAGTCAGTGGCAGTGCATTTAGTGCCTGCTGTTAGAGAATTAAAAGAGATTATGTTTAGGTCAGTGGGTTTTGCAGTTGGCTCTAGCAATATGCCTGCTGTGCTCCGTGGTGAGCGCGAGTGGGCGAGAAGCGGCCATATGCGCCGAGTGAACTGAGTCATGGTGACTGGCCAGCGCAGACAGACTGACTCTCTGGAGGGTACATGCTCACAGATGATAAAATATAATTGTTCCCATCAGGCTTTCCAGCTCCTTAATGACAATTAAGGGGAAAAATACTTTTATTTGTTAATGTTGTATCGCCTCTATAGAATAACGGTATGAAAATGGTACCTCTTCTGCCCAGAGCAGCAAATGTTTGAGGTGACATTGTTTTCTTTGTTACTGTGGTGATAACGGTTAGTGGGTTTTGCCCTCTAGTGGCTGCGTGCGCCAGCTCAATTTCAAATTTGAGTGGCTTTGTTAGGTTTTGTTGTTTTTCCTAAAGAAAACTTTAAAAAAGTAGTATTCAGTCTTACCATAAAAAAGGGGTAACAATATTACAAGCTGATGGTCAGGCAACACTTTAATCTGCAACTCCTGTTCAGTGTAGAGAAGCAGTAGTTAAGAATGACATGTGATGGATTTTTTTAAACATTAAAAGGACCTTTTTAAAGCTTCCCCCTTCCCCCAATGCTCTGCTTCTTAATAAGTAGTCGTCCCCCCCCCCCCATTTTTTTCAATCATTTGGTTAAATCAATGTTAATGAAAAAGAAAGAGTAATGAAGTCTTGCCTAAAAATTAATTGCTCAAGCCTTCGCTCTTTTGTTTCACATTATCTTTGTTTAATACTCTACTTAACGGGAAATTAAATTCTAATGTTCAGACGGTAGGGGGGAACCTCACCTTGCTATAATGCACCAAACAGAACAAGATAAAAATATTCCTGTATTTCTCGTAAAGAAGAGTAAAATAAGTTGAGTTCATTTTCTTTTTAGTTTATTCCTTTGCAAAAGCTAGGCTCTGTGAACATACATGTGATTAACTTTATGGCTTTACTGACTAGGGGTATTCATTCACATGCGTGACATTCCTGACATGTGTGAATGTGCGGGGTTCCATTGATTAATTTGGGACTGTGGCCCTGATATGACAATTGGGTCTCCCTGGGGCAGACTTCTGTTCCCCTGCTGAATGCTGTTGAAGTCAATGGGACTCTGTAGGTGCAAAGATGATTGCATGATAGCGATGTTCAGGGATCCTGGCTTTCTCTGATTAAAAAAAAAAAAAATCCCAATTTTCAGATTAAAAACAGTAACCCAAAATCCAAATTTTTCTGTGATTAAAATGAAACACCATTATATATATATATATATATATATATGTATGTATGTATGTATGTATTACATCAGTGTCAATGAGGGCTTCTTTATTTTAGGGATTATCATCTTTATTGCACAAATACATTTGTGGAGAGTCCTTGCTGTAAGTGTTCTCCTGGAGGCATGTAGGTCCTTCTTTCTTGAAGATGATGCTTTTTCCAATGTCTTTCCAAAATTCAAGTTAGTTTTCTGTTATGCATTATGAGGCTTAAAATACCACTGTTGATTTCGGCAGACTGCCTATGTCCTTAGAGCAGGGGTAGGCAATTATTTCAGGCAGAGGGCTGCATACTGAGTTTTGGCAAGCCATCGGGGGCTGCATAACAGGCAGCCAGGGGAAGATAAATATTAATTTTCTAAATATTTTAGGGGTCCTGCGGGCCAGATAGAATGGCATTTTGCCCACCCCTGCCTTAGACCAACACAGCTACAACCTACACCACCACTGATTTCCACATTTCTCCATGATTAAAATTAAACACTATATCTATAGATATATAGATATATATATATTCACCTTAATCATGGAGAAATGTGGAAATCAACAGTGGTATTTTATAAATATTAGTGGTGTTTCATTTTAGTCATGGAAAAAAATGTGGATTTTGGGTTACTTTTTTAAATCCGAAAATCAGAGAGTTGTTTTTTTTTGTAATCTGAGAAAACCGGGATCCCTGGTAATAAATACATAGGTAGGTTGCAGTATTTTTACCTATAGAATTATCATATGAAGAATTTATATCAAAGGCTATAGTTTTTTATAATTTGACAATTTCTCCAATGATCCTACAAATTAAAGTTTATTTTTAAGGCACATTAGATTACGTCTGCTGTCCGTTGCATCGTGAGCGGAGGTGTTTCCCATCATGTTTCTTTGTTCGAAATCTGTACTGACATAGCATTAGAAAACCAACCACCCAGTACTGTTTGGGAGGAAGGAGTGGGGAAGGTGACGAGTGGAAGAGGACAATCATCAGCGGTCTTTTCGCATCATGTTCCATTGCCTCACCAACACTTGTCACAGGCAAACAGCAGAGAGGAGCAGGCTGCATCCGTGTGCTGAAGACGTGAGGTAGAGAAAAGGAGAAAGAACTTTTTTCCCATCTCCTCGGTTGGTCTAATGAGAGAGACTGCATCTCCTCCAAGAACCTTCAGACCCCTTCTTAGCCCACCCTGTCCTCCCAAGATGCAGGTGGAGGCCCCGGGCCCTTCTAGCTGCAGCAGAGTCAGGACTTTGCGGGGCTCCAAGGATCACAGACCTGAGCTGAGCTCCAAACGTGATTTACATTGTGGAGGGGGGAAAAAATGCCCATTGGGTCCAACCCTCCTGTTTCCCTCGGGCTCCCGGCAAGCCAGGCTGAGCAAGGCCCCGAGTAGGCTCCAGGGGCAGAAGGCGTCGACCCCGCCCTGTGCAGAGGGCTCCGCTCACCACGTGGCGCAGCCCCTTGAAGGAGCACAGGCCCCGCTCGCTCCCTCCAATCACCCTGCCCGTCGCGCCCCGCACGGGCCAATGGGCGGCCGCGGAACGCATATTTAAACACCCTTCCGGGGCGCTGCGCTGTCACAGGGTTCGAATGCAACACAGGGAGGGGAGGCGGGACCCCACCCCGCGGCTCCCCAATCGGACACCACGGAGGTGTGACGGGCAGGCGGAGGCGCCAATGGGCAAGCAGCGAGGGGCGGCGTGTATTTTTTTTTTTCTTGCAGCAGTCGGTTACAGTGACTGCGGCGCCCGGTGCTAGCGCGGGGAG